TATATATATATATATATATATATATATGTGTGTGTGTGTGTGTGTGTTTGCTTGCCATTTTTGCCTTTGTTGCAATAGGGTAGTACAGACAGACAAGAAGTGAAGTGGTATGGAGAGGGGGAAGGGATCGGGAAAGGTGCTCGAGTCACCCAAAGCGTGGTCATGCTACATGTTGGAGTGCAGCCCACGAGGCAATCGGCTCTGATGATAGTCTATTTAAAAAAAAGTATTATATGTACATACAGATTGTAAAAAAGAAATAAAAAAAAAAAACTTGCAGATTTTGCTACAATATATACATTGTTTTAATAAAGTAGCATATATAACTAAAATATATATTGTTGACCATATACAGCTGCCACATATGATAACATCATAATTCATCATATAGATATTAGCATATGTACATCTATAAATTATATCTTCATGTACACAGAAAATGTATGTGAAAATTATATATGGCCTTATAGGTAACATTTATGGCAATATCACTCTCGATAGGGCAATATATGTCCTATATATTACGTTTGTGTATGGGAGGACCTATAAAGGAAAATCTGCACATCTTGGAAATTACTGTATCGTGTAGTGTAGAATTATTGAAATATTTCTCAACCCACCTTAACTTTTTTACTTCTAATACACTACAGTTACTGTAGTATTTTAAATTTGTGTGTATTTGTTCAGCAGCTCCATCTCCAGTGAACATGGCCAAACCACTGTCTATGGACAAACCAGAATGCTTAATTGACACAGAGTCAGGTGGGAAGCTGTATGTCAAGGAGTCAGCACTGCAGATCCTGCAGAAGATCGAGCAGCCAGTGGTGGTGGTGGCTGTGGTGGGACTCTACCGCACTGGGAAGTCCTACCTGATGAACCGCCTCGCAGGACAACAAACAGGTTAGACCTACATGTAAACAGGCAGCACTGATAGCATCCAAAAGTTTAAAGGGGTCATATGATGCTGCTAAAAAGAACATTATTTTGTATATTTGGTGTAATGAAATGTGTTTATGCGGTTTAAAGTTAAAAAAACACATTATTTTCCACAGACTGTACATTATTGTTTCTCCTCTATGCCCCGCCTTTCTGAAACGCGTCGATTTTTACAAAGCTCATCGGTCTGAAAAAGCGAGGTGTGCTGTGATTGGCCAGCTATCCAATGCGTTGTGATTGGCCGAATACCTCAAGCGTGAGACGGAAATGTTACGCCCCTCACCATACTGTTGATGCCGTGTCCCGGCCGGAGCGACGAGACAAAAACATAAAACCCATTACAAACGAGGCATTTGTTGCATCCAGTGGGGACATAATTACTGATTATAATGACTTATACTGTCTTTTTACGCGTTGCGTTGCATTGCATCGCGCCGTGTAAACATAAAACTCTGTCTGCATTTGTGATCAGAGAAATGACAAACAACAAGTGCTACTCTACTGCCCAAAACTCGCGTTTGAATCATCAGTGGCAAATCGTTTCTATGAAAACGTACCTACGTGAGTCAGAACTGCCGGCATTTTAGTCTAACGTTACTCTCCCAGGATCAGTAAACAGTCCTCCATAAAATGCGCTGCACACATCTGGATATTTGGGTTAAACTGTTCTGGAACAGTGTTGTAAATACCACTGATTTGTAGTCGTGGCCTCTTTTGGAAGACCAAACAAAGTAGTTTCGCTTTCACAACGAAGCACACAGCGTCTTCACGACATGGCTGCAGCGTCAACAAAACTACAGTGAGAATAAAAGTTACGCCTTCTTTCTTTGCGTGAACATTTGGGCGGTGTTATGCAAATCTTCCCACATAGTGAGGTAGATATGTGGGGGCGTGTTAGAACGAGCTGTTTTAGGTAGGTGTGGCTGACTCTGAACTTTTATAAAGAATATCTCTTTGGATTTGAGACTTTAGTCTTTGCAACTTTACAGATCTTCTTTATGCACCAAGAGCTTGTAACACTCCAAAGTGAAAGGAAAAATTGAAATCGCATCATATGACCCCTTTAAGAGAAACATCATGGACTTCAAATGAACGACCTCCCATGCATATTTGTCATTGTGTTTGTGTGTTTGGAATTATTAGGGTTTGCATTGGGCAGCACAATTGAGTCTAAGACTAAGGGCATCTGGATGTGGTGTGTGCCCCACCCCACTAAAGCAGGGACCACTCTGGTGCTGCTGGACACTGAGGGACTCGGAGATGTGGACAAGGTGATGTAACGGCCAAACTAAAACATAGTAGTTATTTTAACATAAGCAGATTCACGGAACACATTTACTTAATATGGCTTTCAAAACATATCCATTGTCACTACAACGAATTTGTGCTGATTAAGCCCTGTTAAAATAGAGCCCAAATACAAGTTTGTAGTAACACGAGCAGCTTTCATTGATATTAATCTCCAGTAATCTTCTAATTCCATCTCAGGGGGACTCAAAGCATGACAGCAACATCTTCTGTCTGGCTGTGTTACTGAGCAGCACTCTGGTCTACAACAGTCGAGGGACGATTGACAACAGGGCTGTAGAGGAGCTACAGTATCCTTCCAATAAGCTAGATACCTATTAATCTCATAGCTTAATATAATACCTTATTAATTAGCTGATGCTTCATTCAAAGTGTTTTATTAAGGAGTACAAATTCAACACAAGTTTGTTGTCAAAGTAAGATGTCACTTTTTGTAAGGAGATGCACATATGTTTCATTGCCAGGTGCAATTACAGTCAGTTATGAGGAAATGCAATGTTTTTTTTGTTTGTTTGTTTCTGAGAAATGTGCAAAAAGAACAAGAAAAATGAGGGTGTGACTGCTTCCTTAATAACTAGGCTTGGTGATACTGAAAGGTATTTAGCACTGGTGCTGTAAATTTGCATAGTACTTCATGGAATGACTTGTTTGTGTAGTTAGAATATGCATCATGATTTGTTGTTTGACAGCTGCTTTGTGTTCATGCCTGAACAAAATGTCAGATATGTCACTGAACTAACAGAGTGCATCAAGGTCAAATCATCAAATAATGATGCTGATGATTCGGGCGAGTTTGTGAAGTTCTTCCCTAGTTTCATCTGGGCTGTGAGGGACTTCACACTGGAGCGAAAGATTGATGGCAATGATGCAACAGAGGATGAGTACCTAGAGTTTGCTCTGAAACTGAAACCTGGTAATTAAAAAAAATATACAAAACATTTTAAGAGCCCTCACAACGAGTTTGTGTGACTAATTTTTGTCAAGTTTGTCAACATCTTTTGCTACTATTTTAAGATTTACAATATACTGCGGTAGCAAAGATGGTACTCGACCAAAACAAATCTTTTGCTGCAGCGGGTACTGCCACATTTCTGTAACAAACTCAATTTAACCGCAGACTTACAAGATATCAGGCGAACATATCAAAGTGCATTTTCTGTAGTAGTAGTCAACCTTGGCTTGTCATTGTTCTAGATTTCACTGTTTCAGTTGGCAGGTAAAAAGAAAAAACACTGTAATTTAATTTCACAGAAGCAAATTAGGGGAGAGTGGGGTGTTTTGAGGCTTGAGTTGAAGTTGAGCCACCCTTTGTTTCTAGGCAACCATAAACAAAATTGGTCATGCGGATTATAAACATACTCAAGTTTTAAGAAAAACAAATAATTAAATTAATAAAACATGCTTGTAAGCAGTGTTATCATTAACTGAAACCAAGATAGGAAAATGAAGATGAAAGGACTAAAGCTACTGTAAATGACAACTAAAACGACTGCCTTTAAAACTAACTAAAACAAAAAATAAACACACATGAACTAAATTTAGTTCCCTTTCAATAGGGAAACTCGCACTGCATTGTCTTGACTGGTGTCTGAAGCATGTCTAAACATGACAATAACATTAGTCAGCGACAGCCTATGACCACTATACTACTATACGACCATAATATAAAATGGTGCCAGAAGAGCACATCATATGCTGGTTTTTTCAACAGGGCATCCTCTTCTTCATCTTCACAAGACCGTTTGTTTATGTTAACACCCGGCTAAGCATGCTAAGAGTGTATTCTAGTGATGTCCGGTTCGCGAACGAATCGTTCGATTTAACTGGTTCTTCTTAGTGAACCGGTTGAACCAGTTCACCAAATCGGACTGAATCGTTTGAAACGGGTCGCGTCTCCAATAAGCATTAATCCACAAATTACTTAAATTAATCACGTTTTTAACGTGGCTGACACTCCCTTGAGTCGAAATAAACCAATATCCTGGAGTAATTAATTTACTCAAACAGTACAGACTGAACTGCTGTGAAGAGAGAACTGAAGATGAACACGAGCAGAGCAGCATGTGTGCAGCGAGACGGATAACGAACGTACACGCCCACTGCTGGAGCGGTTCTCGTTCTCGAGTCAAGAACCGGTTGCATCGGTTTTCGGATCACCAGTACACTGAACCGAGAACCGTTTCTTTCGGACACGTCCGATTTGAGAACCGATGAGCTGATTCTCGTTCTCGAGTCAAGAACCGGTTGCATTTGGGGGGTTTTCCACTGGGTACAGTACCTGGTACCTGGTACTTTTTTTAGTACCACCTCGGTTGGGGTTCCAAGTAGTGATGTCCGGTTCGCGAACGAATCGTTCGATTTAACCGGTTCTTCTTAGTTAACCGGTTGAACCAGTTCACCAAATCGGACTGAATCGTTTGAAATGGTTCGCGTCTCCAGTAAGCATTAATCCACAAATTACTTAAATTATTAACTTTTTTAACGTGACTGACACTCCCTCTGGGTCTAAATAAATCAATATCCCAGAGTAATTCATTTACTCAAACAGTACACTGACTGAACTGCTGTGAAGAGAGAACTGAAAATGAACAATGATACTGCACATGCATGTAATGTTTCAAGAGGACGAAAAGCATGTTATCCAAGTATTTTGTTAAACATCAGAAAGTGTGATAATATAAATATATTAGTCAAGAACCGGTTGCATCGGTTTTCAGATCACCAGTACACTGAACCGAGAATTGTTTCTTTCGGACGCGTCCGATTTGAGAACCGATGAGCTGATGATACTGCGCATGCGTGATTCAGCGTGAAGCTACCGAACAGATTGCCTACTATGACTGACACAGCACGTCTGAACCGAACTAGTTCTTTTGGACAACTGATTCTGTGCTAATGTTATGAGCGCAGGTAAACTGAAGACTTGAATGAAGGGCAATCTGGCGAAACTTACGTTTATTTAATAACAAATAAATCGCAATGGATTATGTATAGTACGTGGATTATGGTTTCTGTGCTGATGACAATTAATTTATTTACTTAATATCTTCAAGACTTAAATCCTCGTATGCACATCACTGCCTGTTACTGTATTTGGATGCTTAGTTGCAAAACTGCAAAAGTGTAAACTTTTCAGATCATGATTATGATGTTTTAACTGACTGAAGTTACGATTACTGACTTTATTTATTTGAATGTGTATTTTTATCCCGGCCTGGGCTGATAGACTTGAAATCATTACGTCATCGCGAATGACGTCATTATGTTAGGGCATAAAAGAACCGATAAACCGGTTTTTAACCATTTCATTGAAACAAACTGTCCGAAAGAACCGGTTCGCGGAAAAGACCTGGACTTCCCATCACTAGTGTATGCTTCTGTGTCAGTGGCTTGCTTTGATACCTGCAAATTCACACAACTTGCTCTCAAGGGGAGTTGAATGTGCTCATTGCGCTTATTTCTTTTTGGATAAGGAAGGATAGAGTGCGTTTGACTCACAAGGAAGTGGCATGTGCTCATTGTGATGTATTTGCAGGACTACTGAGAGAGAATTAGAAGTTTGATTCTTCTTTGCTTTGCCTTTTACCCAAGATTGTAGACAGCGTTTGCATGAATGCATTGCCCCTTAAGGGAGTTGAACAGGCTCATAGTGAAGCATTTGCGGATTCTGTTTAATGAATCTTTTATTATATTGTGTTTGCACTTTGTTGGTTATTTTGAGAGGATTCGCAAGAGTCCAAGAATCAGCGTTGGATTGACCGGATTCTGACTAAATAAAATACCTCTGATTGGCCATTGTGATTTACGTACTTATCAGCTGCAATGCTCAACACTTCAAAAAACATGTTGTAAATAGAAAGCTTTGGTACTCTTTTGATTAGTATCTTCTAGCGCCTCTGAAGAACTGGGCCAACTGAACTGTTGGACAATAAAATACTTTTGGGGGGACCACAGACAGTTGTCATACGATTCTCATTCACTGTATTGCATTAACAGAAGTCAGTTAATAAAAAAATAATACAAATATTATTTCATGACAGTGGGGGTGGAAACCTTTACTATGTAGCCATGCAGACTTACTATTCATTAAATTTAATGCTGTGTGGGACAGAAGTGCTGGTCTAGGAAAGACAGTCTCACTGGGATGCAGCTGATTATGATGTTTTAACTGACTGAAGTTACGATTACTGACTTTATTTATTTGAATGTGTATTTTTATCCCGGCCTGGGCTGATAGACTTGAAATCATTACGTCATCGCGAATGACGTCATTATGTTAGGGCATAAAAGAACCGATAAACCGGTTTTTAACCATTTCATTGAAACAAACTGTCCGAAAGAACCGGTTCGCGGAAAAGACCTGGACTTCCCATCACTAGTGTATGCTTCTGTGTCAGTGGCTTGCTTTGATACCTGCAAATTCACACAACTTGCTCTCAAGGGGAGTTGAATGTGCTCATTGCGCTTATTTCTTTTTGGATAAGGAAGGATAGAGTGCGTTTGACTCACAAGGAAGTGGCATGTGCTCATTGTGATGTATTTGCAGGACTACTGAGAGAGAATTAGAAGTTTGATTCTTCTTTGCTTTGCCTTTTACCCAAGATTGTAGACAGCGTTTGCATGAATGCATTGCCCCTTAAGGGAGTTGAACAGGCTCATAGTGAAGCATTTGCGGATTCTGTTCTTGCCTGATTCTCGAGCGTTTGAACAGAGCGTGTTTTCTCTAAGGGGAGCTGCATGCTTGCTGCGTGATGTGGTCGCCGTGAGAATTGAGTGCCTGCCGCCCATCGTTAAAGTCCCACTGTTGCCAAGGCAGAAAGACAGACTGATCACGGGGATTGTAGGTGGAGCATGGAATTTTCCCTTTCAGGAACTTTTTGCTGTTTCTAATTCATTACACAGAATAAGAAACTGTGTAATGTGAGATATCTAATCACACATTCATAATATGTTCTCCTCTGATGTCTACATTATAGTTGAAGTGTACATAGGCCTTCTCTTTAAAAAGGGAGGAGGCCTCCGCTCTCCAGAAAAATGCTCAGGCAGTGGTGCCGAGATGTTAGACTCCTTGGCTAGCTGCCTCTAGAAGTAGAGTTGGTAAGCCTCTGTTGAGGCCTCCTACGGTATTTACCATAAAAAGTAACTAAGTAACACAATTAGTTACTTATTTATGAAGTAATGCAATATCATATTACTTTTAAAATGAACTTCCTCCAACATTGCTCATAATTCATTACAAAAATAATGAACAAATTCCATGGATAATGCAGTTTATATTGATTGAACTGTGAATGAGAGTGGTTGCTAAGGGTGTTGCGCAGTGATACACAGAATCGTTGGGTGAAATGGTCATAGCCGTACTTATTATGAATAAAACACAGCTGTTGATCAATCAGAATCAAGGACTGGAACTAACTGTTTTATAAACAATATTTTCACATAAATTCACATATGACTGGGTTGTATTTACTGCCACGGACTTGCATCTATGGTATACATGGCAGAAATAGGCATTTTGGTTGGCAACCTACTTTACTTAGAGTTTTGTAATCTGTAAATTGAGAGAAGCAACAGCATGCATTTATCTGTTCTAGGCACTTCAAAAAAAGTGATGGAGTACAACCTGCCCAGGGAGTGCATCCAAAACTACTTCCCCTCCAGAAAGTGCTTCACTTTCCCGTTTCCAACTGCCCCAGAGAATGTGTCACATCTTGAAAAGTTGGATTCTTCTGACATTTCCTCTGACTTCCTGGAGGTCACAGAAAATTTCTGCAAGTATGCCTTTGAGAAGAGTGAAGTGAAAAAGCTGAAAGACGGAATCACAGTATCTGGCAGAGGTGATTCAAAAGAAAATTGAAAGAGTTTGCATACACTTATAGATTGTTCAATACCCTTTCCTTAACATTGTGTTTAACTTCTTTACTTCTCTGCAGTTCTGGGTCATCTGGCAAAAAATTATGTGGACACCATCTCCAGCGGAGTTGTGCCATGTCTGGAGAACGCTGTGATCGCCATGGCAAAGATTGAAAATGAGGCTGCAGTGAAGGACGGGCTTGAAATTTACCAGAGTGGAATGGAGAAGCTGAAGGACACCTTCCCGCTAGAACTGAAGGATGTGTCCTCAGAACACCAACATCTCAGCAGCACAGCGACACAAACCTTCATGAAGCGTTCATTCAGGGACAATGATGGGGGGTACCTGAAAACTCTAGAGGTAAGCAGGAACTCTTCACATATTTCCAGTTTCAGTTCTTTTAGGTTGATGCTGTGAACTGTTGACACTAGGCAGCCAGGTGAAAAATAAAACATCTCTCCTGGCCCTTTGTTGGTTCTGAATACATCTGAATACCTGCAAACCTAATAATCATTATGAATATTTTAATGCTCTCTTCTGCCATGTCATCAACTGCCACCAAAGGCCACCTCCATTTGAAGGACCTTTGGAAGCCAGCCTTAATTTTGTGGACTTCATTCATCTTATTATTTAGGATGCATCAAGTGTATTCTTTGCATCCTCCAGTCACCCACAATCCTTTGCACACATTCCAATTCATGAAGAAACAGATGAAAAATTAGTTGACACTGAACACCCTCGGGTCATTTATGAACTGCCAGCTCATTTGCAGAATCAAATCACTGAGGGTGCTTTTCAAATTAATGAGGCAGCTCAGATTGGCATCTTTACACAAGACTTATCCCCCTGGGGTCTGAGAATGCTTTTGGGTCCAGGAGAAGTTTTGACATGTCCTGACAATTGTGCTTTTTATTTTTAGTTATAAACACATTAATGGCTAAAATCTGATTACACTGTATTCAGCACAAACTGTGCTACAAAAATATGTATAATGTAAGTTTGTACTTTTGAGAAAACAATGTTTATGCATTGTTAGTAAAAAAAAAAAGAAAAAAAGAAAAATGTGACTGTGGGGCAGGTAAGAAAGAATGTGAGGAAATTAAGAAAATGTATTTTTGTTTGTAGTTTATTTACAACAGTGCAAAATATAATCAAAATATAAATAATAAAGGTCGTAGGCACACTGATCTGTACACACAGACTTGAAAAGTCATGCACATTCTTCCATTCCTGGAAACATTTTATGTTAAACTGTAGACACAAATGAATCATACCTACATTTCCAAAGTACTTGTTGCTTCTTGAACTGAAGAATTTCAATGATGAAATGATGCCAGATGGGCTGGTCTGAGTATTTCAGAAACTGCTGATGTGCTGGGATTTTCACACACATCCATCTCTAGGGTTTACAGAGAATGGTCCAAAAGAAAGATAATATACAGTGAGTGGCAGTTCTGTGGGCAAAAATGCCTTATTGATGCCAGAGGTCAGAGGAGAATGGCCAGACTGGTTGAGCTGATAGAAGGACAACAGCAACTCAAATAGCCACTCGTTGCAACCAAATTATGCAGAAGAGCATCTCTGAATATGTCAAACCTTGAAGCAGATGGCCTACAGCAGCAGAAGACCGGGTGCCACTTCAGTCAGCTAAGAACAGAAGACTGAGGCTTGTGGCCATTAGACTCCGCCCCTTACCTGGACCCCTCTTTATTGAACACTGCCCTTCCTTCACGATACCCCCGCACAACAAGGACACAAGATCCCCCGTTTATTTTTGGACGCTCCTTCCCCTTGGACACTTTATTTCCCCATTTTTATGTTTTATATCTGTTAAATAATAGCCTCTTCATGTCCTGAGGCCACACCCACTGTGTCTGTCGTTTGCTCCTCCCACCACAGTTGGAATGGGAGATTCACATCATGGATGTACAGCCAACAAATCTGCAGCAACTGCATGATGCTATCATGTCAGCACTGACAAGAATCTCTGAGAAATGTCTCCAGCACCTAGTTGAATCAATGTTATGAAAAATTAAGGCTGTTCTGAAGACAAAAGGGGGTCCAACCTGGTACCTAGCAAGGAATACCTGATAAAATGTCAAGTGAGTGTATGTGGCCATATTTAAATTGTGAACTGACTATACTGCTCTAGTGTTAAAATTCCCATTATAATGAAAAGAGCTGACCATACTGCATAATGAATCTCTTATTATATTGTGTTTGCACTTTGTTGGTTATTTTGAGAGGATTCGCAAGAGTCCAAGAATCAGCGTTGGACTGAAGAGGTCCTAGAGGAGTTTCTGAAGCAGAAATCTGTGGATTCTAAAGCCATTCTGCATGCAGACAAAAAACTGACTGAGAAGGAAAAAAAGATTAAGGGTGAGACTGTTAAACCTTCAAATGCTAATTTCCCTGTTTCAAAAAGTGCTCAAATGTTTAGCTACTTGTTGTGAAAGTACTTGCTGGACAATGAAGAACTCTGAGACATGCGCAAGATGATGTAACAGCCAAATTAATTTAACACCAGCTACAAGTAGCATCAAATGCTACAAGCTGTTTCAAAGGTAGAAGATTTACACCTGGCAATAATAATTGCAATATAGGGTGGCTATTTATGCCAATGTCATCACTAATCAAGGTCAATGTGATCAAGATCAACACTTTCACCTCTTCGGGCTTTATTTGTATGGTTCTAAATCAGTTCTTAGTTGTAAGGATGGAACTACAGGTACACCTACATATGTGTAAGTAGTTGATTAAAATAAATTCTTTTAGTGAAATATCCAAGTTGAAAACAGAAGGAAGTGTCCATCTTAAAGTGTGCATTAGTATGTTTAAAGCCATTCACAGTAGTTTTTTCTTTATAGGACAATCATATTTAGCAGATATTACCTTGATAAAATAGATCCTTAGTCTCATGGTTTGAGTCTCTTCTCCATCTAATTTTTTTTCTTTCCAGAGGAAACAGAAAAAGCAGTCCTCCTGGAGCAGGAAATCAAAGTTAAAGAAGAGAAGCAGCGACAGCTAGAAGAGAAGATGGAAGCAGAGAGAAAGAGTAATGAAGAGAGGATGAGGCAGATGAAGGAGAAGATGGATGAGGAGATAAAACTTCAGAGAGAGGAGGCTGAGCGTGCCATGGAGAGTAAACTGAGGGAGCAGGCTGCTCTGTTGGAGAAGGGATTTAAGGAGAAGGCAGACAGGATGAAAGAGGAGATGGAGGAGTTTAAGAGGCAGAATGCTGAAGCTGAGAGTAATAGAGCTAGAGAGTTTGCAGAGATGTTAGAGAATTCCAACAGGAGACACGAGGAATCAATGGCTGTGATGATGCAGCAACACAGAGAACAGATGGAGGCCATACAGCAGACGAATTCACGCTCTTCAGACGGATGTTGTGTCTTGTGAAATGTATCAATTCTGTGATCTCCAAACTAAGGCATTTAATTGCACAATGCAATTTCAATATACAGTCATGTGAAAAAGAAAGGACACCCTATTGAATTACATGGTTTTCCATATTAGGACATAATAAAAACTCACCTGGTCCTTGGCAGGTCTCAAAATTTGGAAAATAAAACCTCAGATGAACAACAACACATGACATATCACACTGTGTCATTATATATTTAACAAAAATAAAGCCATTATGGAAATGCCATGTGTGACAAATTAAGGACACCCTATGATTAAATTGCTTGTAGATCCACTTTTAGTAGCAATAACTTGAAGTAATCATTTTCTGTATGACTTTTATTGCAACAGATTGATTATTTTCTGTTTCAGCTGTTCTGTTGTAGATTTGCTGGTGTGCTCGGGATCATTGTCCTGTTGCATGACCCAATTTTGGCCAAGCATTAGTTGTCACTGTTAAACCTTCAAATGCTAATTTCCCTGTTTCAAAAAGTGCTCAAATGTTTAGCTACTTGTTGTGAAAGTACTTGCTGGACAATGAAGAACTCTGAGACATGCGCAAGATGATGTAACAGCCAAATTAATTTAACACCAGCTACAAGTAGCATCAAATGCTACAAGCTGTTTCAAAGGTAGAAGATTTACACCTGGCAATAATAATTGCAATATAGGGTGGCTATTTATGCCAATGTCATCACTAATCAAGGTCAATGTGATCAAGATCAACACTTTCACCTCTTCGGGCTTTATTTGTATGGTTCTAAATCAGTTCTTAGTTGTAAGGATGGAACTACAGGTACACCTACATATGTGTAAGTAGTTGATTAAAATAAATTCTTTTAGTGAAATATCCAAGTTGAAAACAGAAGGAAGTGTCCATCTTAAAGTGTGCATTAGTATGTTTAAAGCCATTCACAGTAGTTTTTTCTTTATAGGACAATCATATTTAGCAGATATTACCTTGATAAAATAGATCCTTAGTCTCATGGTTTGAGTCTCTTCTCCATCTAATTTTTTTTCTTTCCAGAGGAAACAGAAAAAGCAGTCCTCCTGGAGCAGGAAATCAAAGTTAAAGAAGAGAAGCAGCGACAGCTAGAAGAGAAGATGGAAGCAGAGAGAAAGAGTAATGAAGAGAGGATGAGGCAGATGAAGGAGAAGATGGATGAGGAGATAAAACTTCAGAGAGAGGAGGCTGAGCGTGCCATGGAGAGTAAACTGAGGGAGCAGGCTGCTCTGTTGGAGAAGGGATTTAAGGAGAAGGCAGACAGGATGAAAGAGGAGATGGAGGAGTTTAAGAGGCAGAATGCTGAAGCTGAGAGTAATAGAGCTAGAGAGTTTGCAGAGATGTTAGAGAATTCCAACAGGAGACACGAGGAATCAATGGCTGTGATGATGCAGCAACACAGAGAACAGATGGAGGCCATACAGCAGACGAATTCACGCTCTTCAGACGGATGTTGTGTCTTGTGAAATGTATCAATTCTGTGATCTCCAAACTAAGGCATTTAATTGCACAATGCAATTTCAATATACAGTCATGTGAAAAAGAAAGGACACCCTATTGAATTACATGGTTTTCCATATTAGGACATAATAAAAACTCACCTGGTCCTTGGCAGGTCTCAAAATTTGGAAAATAAAACCTCAGATGAACAACAACACATGACATATCACACTGTGTCATTATATATTTAACAAAAATAAAGCCATTATGGAAATGCCATGTGTGACAAATTAAGGACACCCTATGATTAAATTGCTTGTAGATCCACTTTTAGTAGCAATAACTTGAAGTAATCATTTTCTGTATGACTTTTATTGCAACAGATTGATTATTTTCTGTTTCAGCTGTTCTGTTGTAGATTTGCTGGTGTGCTCGGGATCATTGTCCTGTTGCATGACCCAATTTTGGCCAAGCATTAGTTGTCAGGCTGGTGGCCTCACATTTGACT